GTGTGTTTCTAGAAATTTATCCATTTCCTCTAGGTTTTCAAATTTGTTGGAGTATAGTTTTTCATAATATTCTGTTATAATCCTTTTTATTTCAGTTGTGTCTGTTGTAATGTCCCCCATTTCATTTCTTATTTGGGTTATTTGTGTCCTGTCCTGTGAAAAATATATTTTTAGGAGCAACATTTTTACCTAGTATTTATTTATTTTATACCCGCTAAGCTTTAATCTAGTAGATAGACATGAGCGATTCATGGGTAGGAAGGCAAATATGGTGCTTAAGCCACATGTGGTAGAGGTAATATAGAGACTCTGTCATCTTTAAACCTTTTGTGACCACTTTGCTATTAATGTTAAAAATGTTCACCTATTCACTTAAAATACATTAGCTGGATGACATTTTTATTTGGAAAGATGAAATTTAATTGGCAAAATACTTATCAGATCTTGCAATAAGTAGTTTGTGTTGTTTGAGTTAGTTGAAATGCTTTGGATACATCTGTGCCGATGACATAATGTGTTAACAAGCCCATAGAAGTTGGTAGACACCCCTTCCGGAGAATGAATGCACTGTATTCGAATGACACAAACTTATCTTCAGTCATATCAGATGACAGGTGGATTGTTGCTGTAATGTTTCAAATGTAAGACTTCGGGCTGAGGCCACTTCAGAGATGGCAGGTGAAGATGGGTGCTGAATGTGGAGGCAGCCATGTGCGTTGAGGCGCTTCTGACCTGCCTCTGTGTCTGCAGCCATTTCGCACTGCCAGGGGCTGTATGGAATTTGTATTCTGGTGAAATCTTAATTAACTCTTTTTAAGACTTTATTTCATACTAGTTGCGATTCTTTTAATTCATAGTTTGGCCTCTGTGGGCATATATTTAATACCTAAAATGCTCAGAATGAGTACTACGAAAATTTTATTTTAAGATATTTTGAAAAGTTTCTGTTTTCAAATTTTTCACTACCAGTGATACTTTTAATTTATATGTTGAGATATAAATTATTTGAAAGTTAAATATAGTTGCAGGTGAAAAGTACCATATAATGACTTTAAAAAATCGTCACATAGAATTCAATTTCCATATATTTGAGGATTTTCTAGCTGTCTTTCTGTTATGTATTTCTAGTTTAATTCTGTTGTGGTCCAGGAAGATATTTTGTATGATTTCTGTTTTCTTGACTTTGTTAAGGTGTACCTTACGGCCTGGAATGTGGTCTGTCTTGGAGAACGTTCCATGTGAGCTTGAGAAAAACGTATATTCTGCTGTCGTTCAGTGGAGTGTCCTATCATTGTCTGTTAGATCAAGTTGACTGATAATGTGGTTCCCATCAACGTGTTCTTATTGATTTTCTGATTGGTTGATCTATCAGTTACTGACAGGGTGTTGAAGTTTCCAGCTACAGTAGTGGGTGGATTCATTTATTTCTTCTTTCCATTCTGTCACTTTTGCCTCATGTATTTTGATGCTGTGTTGTTGCTAGATGCATACACATTTAGAATGTTATGTCTTCTTGGAGAATTGACCCCTTTATCATTATGTGATGCTCATCTTTATCCCTGATAATTTTCCTTGCTTTGAAGTCTGCCTCGTCTGAAATTAATGTAGCTGCTCCAGCTTTCCTTTGATTAGTGTTAGCATGGTGTAGTTTACTCCATCCATTTACTTTTCATCTGCCTTTATCTTTATATGTAAAGTAGTTTCTTGTTGGCAGTATGTATTTGGGTTTTTCTTTTTATCCACTCTGTTAGTTATGTATCTGTTTTCTATTCATTACCCTTGTTCTTTGTGTCCTTTTCTTTTTGGTCTTCCACTCTTTTTATGCCTTCTTTGCTTTTAGTTGAGCATTTTACATGATTACATTTTATCCCCTCTCTTATCAATTAGACTTACTTTAAAAAGTGTTTTTAGTAGTTGCTCTAGAGATTACATTATACATGTTAAACTCATCTAAATTCATCTTCAAGTAACAATATTCCACTTCTCATGTAGTGCACATGCTTTATAATGGTATTCCCAGTACCTCCCTTATGTCTCTTGTGACATTGTTGTTGTTTTCACTTATCCATATACTGTAATCACACACTACGCTGTTGTTATTATCATCACTTCAAGTAATCATTTTTAGATCAATTAAGAATTAAAAAAGTAAGTTATTTTACTTTCTTATACTTTTGAAGGATAATTTCACTGGTTGCCGAATTCTAGATAGGTTTTCCCCTTTAAACACATTAAATATTCTTTACTCCACTTTCTTCTTACTTGCATGGTTTTTGATGAGATATCTGCTGTAATTATCCTTGTTCCACTGTAAGGAAGGAGTTTTTCCCTCACTGGCTGCATTCAAGATTTTGTCTTTGGTTTTCTGCAATTGAATATTTACCTAGTTGTAGTTTTTGGTATTTATTCTGCTTGGTGTTCTCTGAGCTTACTGTTTTCATGTCTGTCATTAATTTTGGAAAGTTGTGGCCATTATTACTTCAAGTATTTTTTCTGTTCTGTTCTCTCTTCTCCTCCTGGTATTCCAGTTACACAAATGTTATGCCTTTTTAAACTGTCCTGCAGTTCTTAGATATGTTGTTCTTTTTGGAGGGAAGTTTTTTCTTTTTTTCCTTTCATTTTGATGTGAGAAGTTTACGGACCTATTTTCAAGCTCACTGATTTTTTCCTCAACTAGGGTTACTGATAACCTCCTCAAAGGCAGTCTTCATTGTTGTTACAGAGGTTTTGTTTTCTAGCATTTGCTTTTGACTCTTTCTTAGAATTTTCATCTTTCTGCTTAAGTTACCCATCTGTTCTTGCATGTTGTCTGCTTTTTCCGTTAGAGCCCTTAATGTGTTAATCATCCAAAAAACCAAACCAAACTCATTGCCATGGAGTCGATTCTGA